AGATACATACAACTATGAAACTCTTAATATATTCATATGTCTAACTCCTAAACTTACATGTTGATATGTATAACATTCAATTCTTTAATATTACAAAAAAATTACAATACAACAACAATAATAAGCCTTTATCCCACTAAGTGGGGTCGGCTACATGATTTTATTTTCCATTGCCTCTTGAGTGTATTATTTTCATTTAATTCTAATAGATGAAGATCATTTCTTATACAATATGCTCAAGTCTTTTTAGGTCTACCTCTCCTTTCATTAACATAAGTCGAATGTTAAACATCTACTTTACTTCTAACTTTTTAGAAGTGATATGCCTTTTCATACCTAGGTTTATGACACCATAGTGTTATTAATGTAGTTATCAAACTTTTAGATACCTAAATACATAGGGATTGTGTGGCATGCATGCAAGATTTCTTCTTTTTTTCTTTTTTGGATCGTGGTATTTTTTTTATTCCTTTTTTGATGAACACACTTTCCTCTAAATTTTCTTGTTTGGTGACTTTGTTTAAAACTTTGTTCCTTAGTGTTACCGTTCTCTTTTTTTAACTTGAAATTTCTTTTTGTAGGTCGATCTTTGTTTTGATCAACTTCTCTATAGGCTTACTGAGATTATTTTTTCATATTACAAAAGTCGTGCTGCAAGGTATGTACTTCCAATCAGTTTTTATTAGTTTCTCTATATTTCCTTGCTTGGTTTATGTTAACCACTGCTGCAAACCCTATGCAGTGATTTGCTAGATCAGACATTTCTAGCTTCTTGTAATGATGAGGACAAATATTTTGTGAAACCAATTCTGTTTAATGAAATATTGAAGCTTACGAGAGTGAAGGTATGGAGATGTTATGCCAGTGGGAAGGGCATTTACATACATAGCACACAATTCTTATGTATATACAGCTTACACCTAAGTTTTTATATTTACCCACAGCACACAAATCTTTAATCTCACAACAAAAATAGTACTATTTTCACTTTTTGAAAGTGAAATACACATTTTCATGTGTAGGTTTAAAGCATCAGAGTGCAATGTATGTAAATATGAATGTTTAGGTGTGAGATATGTAAATACGTAAGAGTTGTGTGCTAGGTATGTGAATTTCCCTACTTTTTTTTTCTTGCACATCCACCTTCTGTAAGTTTCCTGTGCATTCTATTACAACAAATTTAATGTTTATTAATAATATTAATGAGAAGTGGAACCTATGCATTATCATTGTTTTTTTTATATTATCATCTTATTAATGTTTATCTTTTTATTGGAGAAAACATAAAATACTCTTCTTTTTAATTACTCCAAATAGAGTGTTCCTGCTTCATTAATGAAGCCAGAATGAGTTGTGATAAAATGAAACAAAATTGCTACAACAAGAAGGTCGTGAGGATTTATGTAACATCATAATTGTTGAAATATTTGCTTATACTCAATTGTGAATTCCTCCTCTACAAATATTAATTATTTGGGATAATTACATACATAGAACTCGAAATTTTACTATTTACAAATGTAGAATCCATATATTTTTTTGAACTATCAAACTGATCAATTTACGTGTGCCATAATAAAATCGTTGAAATTTAATAAAAATGAAAAATATGGGTTAGGGTCTTATTGTGAGCTTTGCTATTTCCATTTGAATTTGAAAAATGAATGAAAGAGGGTGCTAGTTTTGTAAATAGCAAAATTTTAAGTGTTATATATGTAATTGTCCCTTATTTTGAATCACAAGCATCATTGGCCATGTTCTGTTATAATTTCCACATCATCACCCAAGTAATTATGCCATCAGTGTTTTCTGTATATGCATTGTTTTTTCAGCCGGTGATGTGCATTTCTATGTGACCTGAAGTACATATAAAACAAGGCCTTTATCAGCTTGATCATGATGTCAAGTTTATTTATCAATCAATAGATCTATACATGTTTTTAATGGACTGTACCAATGCCCTCACTGTTTAAACTCTTCCAAAGATTATAGGTGGTGATCTTTTATAAGATTGATTTGGGCTACAAAAATTCCAACTCCCCGGACTCTCACATTTTATTTGTTTGTTATTGAGAGAGTTTTTAGGGTCAAATTTTCATAAGACAGATGAAATAGTAGACATGACACTGCCCAGAGATTTCACCTTCATTTTGTGGACTTTTTTTATCTGGGATTCTAGGTTTCCCATAAGTACAAGTCCATATGGTTAATTACCCATTCCAATAACTGGAGAGCACTTTTTTCTTAGGCTAGTCATTTAGAGTTGAATATTTAACATATAGTAGCAGCAAACATACATTTTAAATTGTAAAATTTATCACTCTGAGATTAAGAAGATGGTGGTGGAAATGATAACGAAACCAATCAAGATCCCCTGGTTTGATCATCCTAAGTCGTCGTGGTCCTTAATCAATTTAGTCATAGGAGGTAGTCGAGCTAACTTGACTGAAAGATTCTTGTCAGTAATTATGAGTTGTTTCTTACAAGTAACCTTGTAGATCTTGAGTGAATGTTTGTCTAAGAGGACAAATTTATGTCGATCTTAGCCAGTAGAAAGTTTTGTGTCAATCAGACAGAAACTAATGGTTCACAACTTAAAGGGTAAAAATTTGTTGGGAAACATACAGGCCGCGACCGTAACTATAATGTTATGATGTCTTTTGGTGAAAATTACTCGGTCAGAGGGCTCTGATTGTAATCAAAATTTTGTGGAGTTTTTGGGTTAAATTGTGCGGACAGAGGACTTGAGCCTCGTCCTTATTATCACGAAATTACTTTTAATGTGAATATTAGTGATATACTTGTTATGACATTAGCTCTTTTGTGAGCTAAAGTCAATTAAAGTTTGTCACCCTCAATAAACTGTTGTGGATAGTTAATGTGATTTGTTTTAAGTTTTTAAATAATTAATTATACTCATACGTTTAATTTATAATTTTGAAACTTTATTTTAAAATTGATCCCTTTAGTTGAGATTCATAATTAACACGACCATCATCAAGGATTTGATTGTTTGATTTGAACTCTGTCGACTTTACAACTTGCTTGTAAATGATCGGATTTAACACAGGCATATGATTAAACATGAACCTTATCAACTTAATGATACATACAGAGAATCGAGTTCACATGTATATTTTGAAAGTAGAACCCTCCAGTTGAAACTTAATTTTGAAAGTAGAACTCTCCAGGTGAAATTTTTTATCGGCTTGGCCTTCATTGGAGATTTGAATATTTCATATTTATAAATTTTAATATTTTTAGCATATTAATTATGTCGACCTCAATTCTAACAAGGAGGATCAGACTAGGCAATTTGGACTTACAAATTCTTATATATATCTGTTATTTGGACATTATTGAAACTTACTAAATTCGTTAAAGTATTGGACTAAGTAGGTGGGACTTATAACACTGCTACTAAGATGTGGAGGCCCGATTGATTGATTTTTAAAAGAAATGAGATTAATCAGAATGAAAACTTTATTCAAATCCGAACAACATTCTTAAGCTATTTGTTAAAACATTTAGAATTTTAGCGGAAGCCAATGTGGGTTAGTAATTTCATATACTTGAATAAATTATAGAATTTCACAAGTTTTGAAGGTGTACTATCCTTAAGCCATGAATTTGATATGAAATGTATATCGCAAGATACATGCAAGATTTTGAAATTATGCATAGTTAACTCATTTTTCATAAGCATTTTAAAATATTTATAGCTCGAGAGTATTATACTTATTAGTCATATAAGTCGTAAAGGCTCTCGCACAAATTCCAAAATATTGCATTTAACTTGTGAACTGGTCTTGAAATTTGCATAGCTTGAAATTATTTAGAGCTTGAAATGCTTGCAAGAATATTAGAATTTTGGATTAATTGTTTCATTTTGGGCTTTAAAAGAATCACCTTTTATTTGTTAGCAAATATATTGCGAATTTAGTAATAATAAGGCATTTGAAGTCAAAGTTTAACATTTAAAAATGTCATTTAATATATTCATTCATATTTAAGGCAATTTGCCAGCTTCTAAGCTTAACCCCAATTAAGCTTAGGCTCAATTTATGGTATTTCATTTATATGTCAGTGTGCTTGTCAGTGTGCTAGCCCCTGGGTTGAGCCCCAAGTAGGCTTAACCTCAATTTATGGTGTTTTATATATAAGTCTATTTGCCGACACCTATTTTAGCATATCAAGGTTAACCTCAATTTATGATATTTTATTTTTTAATCGATCTTAGCTCCCAATTATGATATTTCACATTCAAGTCATTTTGCAAGTTAAAGTATTCCACATTTAAGTAATTTGTAAGTCCAAAAGTTTACATTTTAAATTAATTGCAAGTCGAAAAGGTCTACATTATAAAGTTATTTGTAAGTCAAAAAGGCTAATTTTTGAATAATTGCAAATTAAAGTGTCCAAATTATATTTTAAGCCATTTTATAAGTTGCTAAAGTTCAAATCTTAATTTATTTTGCAAGTCCTTGTTCGCCTGAAATTTTGGCATCCTCCTGGCGTGAACCCTCATTAGGAGGCATTAAGAGAATGCCAATGTTAAAAGAGCAAAATATTTATTTAAATCCAAGATCTAAAAAGATATTATAGTTCTTCAATGTATCTGCAAAAATATTTAAAGCTCACACACGTGCTTGCTCGAATAGATATTTAATTTTCTCTAAACGGTACTTAATCCTTAAGGTTGTGCATTTGCATTTCGTAGGAAGGGTACTCGAGTCTCCTATTTTTATAAAAAAATTTCAAACTAGGCTGCAATTTCCCCGAACAGTACTTGTACTCGAGTCTCCTCGAATGGATATTTTGAAAATTACCCTAACACCAATTTTATACCCTTTCAAGTAGAACGGGTGATCTTGACAACAGTGAGATATTGCTGAAGCGATAATGACGAACCAATTAAATAGGTTCAATTGGATCAAGTGTGGGACAAGGAAACATGGCTTCAGGCTTTAGGCTAGGGCAGATCGGCAGAGCAGGTTTCTGCAGCTTAATGAGGCGACGACGTGGAAGTTGTGGCGTTGGCGGAACTAATTGATAAGGCAAAGTAAGGAGGCTAGGGCTTCAGATCAAGAGGATCACTCAGGAGACACAACAGGCGAAGGGGGCAGTTTTGTGTGGAGCTTTCAACTTCAATTTCGTATGTGCTATGAAACAAATGAAGGGACTTCAGCGGTTTTTGGCTGCAACTAAGTTTTACATTAATAGGATTTGTTAAATCTGATAAATTTGGATTTATCAATCCATAATCCCACGAAAGAGGTTGTGATCAATCGCAAAATAAATCCGCCTCATATTGGATTTACGATATTCGGATTTACATCATCTAAATGATGGAACGTTCGAGAAAAACAACAGAACGCAAGAAAATTGTAGTTAACAAAGCGTTGGATTTATTTTTTATTATTATTATTTTTTGTGTTTGGTTGGATTTAAGCTAAATCCTATAAATTGCATGCTACCAAACACCGCCTTCGGCTGTGTTTCTGTGTTATGAACGACGAAGAGGATGAAGGAAAATAGTTGGGTCTTGAGATTCGTGTGTGACGGGGGATGAAGGAGTAGAGGATGGCTGACGAGGGTTTTTGCGAGTGTTTGGAGTAGGAGGAAAATGGTACATGGGGTTATGGAGGTCTCTGAATGGCATGATCCTATTGTCAATTTCCAAATGACTTTAACCGCAACTGTATTCTGTCAAAGGGGCTTTAACTGGAGTGAATTGTGCAGAGGAACGGGTGATGTGGCTAGGGCAAACAAACCTAGCAGCATAAGGAGAAGAATTTGAATGGAGAAAGCAGTGTGCAGCTGGCTCGAGTGTGGAATGAGGCTTCGTGCAAGTGGAAGTACAAGGGACTCGATTTTAGTCTCTGTGAATAGGAGAAGCAAAGTGGATGAAGGAGACGAAAGCCAGATGTGAAAGATGAGGCTTTTTGGTTTTTTTTGAATTCATCTGTATATATTGATATGCGAGAACATGTAGAACGAGAGCAGTTTTTTTCTTAGGGCGGGAGCAAATTAACACTTTTGAAATTAAATTTAATAGTAAGTCTAATTTAACTTACGTAACAGTATTAATAACAGTATTAATAATCTTTTAACTAATAATCTTTTAACTTTTTTTTTTTGTCAACATTTGAGTGAATTGCACTACTACTCTTTATAAAAAAATAATTGTAACCATCAAAGGGTATAAGATATGTTAATTGATTCGAATAGATCTTGTTAAAAAATTTAGATTTTGTTGATTCTAATTGAAATTTTGTATTGTTCGATTATAAATTTTCATAATTATTCGCCCATATTTTTTGCTAGAATATATGACATTAGATTGAGGATGGTTGCATGATCAACGGATGCATGCTCCTTACATCATTCATATACTATTGATCCAATTTAAGAATTTCAGTAGGGAATTATATAAATTTACATTTGATAGGTTCAGTTTCTTACATTTTATTCATACTCTTATTTAATCTGTCTAATAATTGGGTAAATTTTATCTGCACTTTAGTTACTAGGGAGGACCATTGATTTAAGAAGCTTGCTCACTCAAAGGTTGAATAAAATAATCCGAGACAACATTGATTTTCTCTTTGAACGATATGAGAGTCAGGGTTTATGTGCCATTGTGGTGAGCATTCTTACTTCAAAAATCCTTTCATTTAGTTTGCTTTTGGCGTTTAAGTTTATATATTGAATGTTACAGGAATTACAACAGCTTCTTGATGTTCTGAAGCACACACATAACTTGCTGTCAAAAGATCTTGAACTAGACTCCTTCAATCTGATGCTGAATGAAATGCAAGAAAATCTCTCTCTTATTTCTTATTCAAGCCGCCTTGCCTCTCAGGTTTGAATCTTAACAGTTGTTTTTAAGTTTGATTATTTTCTTTTGTAAGATTTACATACATACGACTTAATTCATCAATTCCTATGTATTTGCATACCTAACACTTAAACTTTAATTTTTACATTTATGCCACTTTATCTATGCAATGTTACTTTTGAAAGGTTAAAATACTGGTAGTTTTGATATATAGTATAAATGTAAGAGGTAAATTTTAGGTGTTAGATTTGTAAACTCATAGGTATGTATGTAAATGTCCCTTTTCTTTTTAGCAATGAGAATCAACCATGATAATATTAACCAACCTTCAGTTCAATGTGTAGTTGGTATATGATATTCTAAAACTTTGTCACGACCTCGCCTAGTGCTGATTAATGAACTCTGTCACGAATTGCATTTAAGTATGTAAGAATGATTAAAAATATGTAAATATTAATGATATATTGTGATTAAAACAAATAAGATAATTATTTACATCAATGTTATTGAATTTTTATGTAATCGGAAGCGTATAGAAGACTGATAAATTCTCAGACTTTGAGGAAGGCTAAAATTTTAAGTTCAGCAGAGGTTAGTGTTTTTTTAATCATTCTTTTTAAAATATGTATGAATGATTAAAAATACACTATCCTCTGCTAAACTTAAGATTCTTAGCCATCCTCAAATTCTGAGAATTCATGGCTCTTCTATATCATTCTGGTTATATAAAAATTCAATAACATTAATTTAAATAATTATCTTATTTGTTCCTAAACAATATATCATTAATATTTACCTTATAAGTTGTTCAGATTCATCACCCCCCTAACTCGCACGCTCCTCCAATTTCTCCTTCGAATCTGAGATCACTAATTGTTAGAGTCCTAATTTCAAATAGAATATTCCAATAATATTATTATTAAACATATCCACATATTTTAGCACACATATATGTGTATTCATGTAATAATATATTTAAATAAATTTATTTAAAAACTAATTTACCTTATAAACCCTTATGTACTTCCTTCAACCCCGCACTGCACGAGCTCCCTTCTGAGGTCTTCTTCTGCCCGCCCGCACTGCACGAGCTCCCTTCTGAGGTCTTCTTCTTCTGCCCGCGAGTCCGGCTCCCTCGCACGCACGAAGGTCTCTAGACCTCAACACCTCTTTCCCCTCTTATTCCCTGCATGCGAGCACCGTAAATCGCATCTCCTTCCTCCGGTCTAAACTCGACACAGAATAGCTTGAGCCCCTTTTCTCTTCTTTTTCTCGCACATCGCACACACGAGTATTGGTGAAGCCGCTTGACTAGGGAACGAAGGTTTCCTTCTCCTTCGACTTCCCCTTCTCCTTCTCTCTGGTCTTGACTCGACGCAGAGTACTCAGCTATTAAATGTAATTCGTTGCACAATAATAATATTAAATAAACTTTTTTTTGAAATGAAGAGAATATGATCATAAAAGTTAAATATAATAGTATGTCAAAAATAAATACAGCGGTTAAGTTTCATATAATTTGTTGGACTACACTGCTCAATTTTGTAAATGAGTTTTCTAGTTTTACTTTTATTTTTTATTTTATGCTTAATACTCATGACACAAGGGCTTGGGGTTGAATAGGCTCAACTGGTTCAACAAAGAGGCTGTCAATCCGACATGGAGACTGAACCGGCCAACCCTATTTTCATTCGTTGTTGCTGCCTACTTTCACTATCACTTTCTTAACTCCCTTTTGCTTACATTGCAGTTGTCGTAACCCACTCCTGCTTACATTGCAGTTGTCGTAACCCACTCCCTTACCTGTTGCCACCATCTGTCGTTGTTGCAAACACTCAACCAGCCATCCTACATGTTGTCCAGCAGGTGTTTACCACTTTCATCCTCGCCTTAGGGGATCATTTGGTTTTGGTTGTTTTATTCCTATTTTAAGAATTTTTTTTGTAATCCCCTTTAGTTTTCAACAATAATATTCACGTTTTGTTGTCTTTTGAGTTAACTCTGGTATCAATTGATATTAGAGCTAACCTAACTCTAGTAATCCTGGGGTTTCCTAACCACCTCCTTACCCAACA